ATGTTATAATTTATACAAAAATCCAAGTATATCATCTATTTTAATGTCATATAATACACTTAATTTCAGTTATCTAAATTATTTAATTAAATCAACATATTATATATTTATTATTATTAATTATAGTATATTAGAATTTATATTAAAAAATAACCAAATGATACATTATAAAATATAATATATTGTCTTCATCACTGATACAGATCCCACTGGGATCACTGAACACCCACAAAGTGGTGCGAATCAACAATACGTCTGGTTGAATTATTTATTTATATTTTTTCAGTTATCTAAATTATTTAATTAAATCAACATATTATATATTTATTATTATTAATTATAGTATATTAGAATTTATATTAAAAAATAACCAAATGATATATTATAAAATATAAAATATTGTCTTCATCACTGATACAGATCCCACTGGGGTCACTGAACACCCACAAAGTGGTGCGAATCAACAATACGTCTGGTTGAATTATTTATTTATATTCGAAAGAACCTTGTTTTAATGGTTATGCAAAGAATTGTTCCGCATTGATGGACTCTACTGTGACTTTTAGAAGGTTAATCAAGCTGTTGACCCATAAGAATCGGTTGTGTGTCGCAAGAACCCTCACAGAAACCTATAGGAACAACCTTTCAATAACTCCCATCCTCAGCGTCTCTTAAGATGAATTTCTAACAGTGCAGCGATGGCACGAACCCTTAAAAGCAGAGTACGCGCTGGTAGACGACTGCCTTGTAGAGGATAATGGTTTTGATGACCTTCCAGGGGATGATGGACAGAATATGAATGAGGTTTGGAATTGAGGGGCTGGTCTTTGAAGGTTAAAGGCAGGTGATTGGCACAAAGATAATAACTAGCACTGTTTTGTGGCATGCTGAGGAAAAACAAGGGGAACGAGAGAGCGGATGACAGGAATCTTACCTCCCGTTGCTCATCAAGCCTCCATCAACACGCTGGAACGTCACTGGGGTCAGAAAGAGGATAGAAAACAAAGAGAGAGAAAAAGAGATTGAGTCATCATAGCAAAATCACTCTCTTAAGCATCATTTCCATCATAATTCACATTTTTTAACACGATTCCAAATTAAACAGCTGGAACTGATTAAGAAATGAAGAAGTCTCCATATATACAGTATGTGTCATAGTAATCTTTCACGAGTGACTGAATTGTTTAGAGCACGCTGTAAATAAACATGCAGAATGAATTTATGAAATTAAAGCATCTTTGTCATTTCATCTCCATAACTTCCTATTTTCTCTGGGTTTTGCCTCAATATTCTTGCCAAAAGAAAGTGATTTACACAAAAAGTGTGCAAACAGAAAGATGGATTACTGATGAAAAGGAGACTAAATCAGGCGTGTATTTGAAAACACTTTTGTCCATTTAGTGAATGTCAACGGGGTTTAAAACTATACTGAACCCCATTGGCCTTTTTGTATGAAAAACCACTGATGCATTTCTTTTTAAATCTTCTTTTGTGTTCCACAGAATAAAAAAATGCATACAGATTTGGAATGACATGAAGGTGAGTAAATGAATAAAGAAATGTTCAAGCATGCACACTTATTTAACAAACATCACATAAACTAATCCAGAGTGACTCCTGGTCGTTTACACACCCTGCAGAGAATCTGAATTAGATCAGTGACATTTTCTCTCCACTGTTAACAATCCATCACCTCTTCTGTCAAACAGACAGTCCAAACATTACCCTGGGCCCGCTGTTTGTTGGGTTTATTTGCATTCGCTGCTAATTCCAGAATCTGGCATTTCAGTAAATTGAGAACAAACACTGAAGGTATTTTCTCTCCCCAAGGGACTCGTTTTATGTGGCGCTATGTGTGTGTGCGGGTCTGTTAAGTGCCTATCTACAATAGGACACATTGCTGGCGCTTTGATGTGGCCCGTAGACTGTCGCTGGTCTCGGCTTTAGGCTGAGCTCCAGATAAGCACTCTCTCCAATATGAAAACTGATTACTCCTCTTTAATAAGCATTTACTGCGGCACGACAAAATCGCCCGTATAAAAATTCCATCAAATCCTTCCTTCCCGTCCAAGCACAACTTGATTTAGCCTCGCGGCGATGACAGGTTTAAAGGAGGAAAGTGGGTGTTTGTGTGAACAGGTGTATTCGCTTTTACCTCTTACACCCAACTGCCGATTAAACATATATAAAAAAAAAAATGTTGCGGAATCGGCTGTCTTTCTTTGTTCTGTAAGCCCTGAAACGTTCGCATGATTTGCAGTGAACCTTGATAATGAGACGAAGACAATTTGGCTCCAGGAAACAAGAATAAACCAACGAATTTCACTCGGCGCAAGAAGCTGCCCTTGCTAGCATGGGCCGCTGCCTTCGCGAGCGTCAAGCATATGGGGTCTGGCATGCCGGTAATGCGTCTGAACGCCACACTTATCTGCTCGGCACATGGGACCAAGAAACCAAGAAAGATGTGGGCCCCTGGGAGCCGGCAACCTTGAAGCCCACTCAAGCAGTGGTGACGAGAGACCACTGGAGTGCATTAAAATGAAGTCGAGGGATATCGAGGTCATAAGACTCAGACAGCTGACTGGTACGCTCTTATCTTGGGGAAAAGTGGAGTGCGGCGGTGTCCGCTTTTGCAGCAGGGAGACTGATTTCATCGGTAATGAAGTTTGGAGCGAAACCCTCCTACAAGATAAAAGCACACCTCAATCCGCACACAATCCCCGAGAGACATGGAGGGAACCTGGGCTTGCTGAGTGATTTTTTTTTGTTGCTTTTTTGTGTTATCAATTCACAGTGTGATTGTGGCCGATCGTGTGACTGGATCAGGTCATCACTGGTTAACCTCTGGTAGGCCTGTGAATCTCCTATATATCATGTAACTTGCGGACAAACCAACCATTGAATTACAAACATTTCTCTGACATTGTGAACATAAAGTGGAAAATCAATGGCAGCGTGACCGTATTTCAGAATGGGATGATATTTGATGGACTGTGTTTGGAATGGTATACTATTCTTTCGATTTTCTACAGTATAAAGTATGAATACTATATTTACTAAAAGGTACAACAATGCAAGCTTCACTAGGTACAATATCCCTCAATGCAATGCATCCAATCATCTAATATCAACAGTCTCTTTTTTGCTTACAAATTGATGCCAAATGTTAAGACAACATTGTCCAAAAAATTAATTAAATATAATAAAAATGTTTTAGTTTGTTTAAGATAATATAATACACTAATATATATCCTAACAACATATAAATATAAATTGTTTTATTTATTTTTGTATTATTATTTATTTATGATCATATATGTGACCCTGGACCACAAAACCAGTCATAAGGGTCAATTTTTTTAAATTGAGATTTATACATAAATAAATAAGCTTTCCATTGATGTATGGTTTGTTAGGATATGACAATATTTGACTGAGATACAACTATTTGAAAATCTGGAATCTGAGGGTGCAAAAAAATCAAAATATTGAGAAAATCGCCTTTAAAGTTGTCCAAATGAAGTCCTTAGCAATGCATATTACTAATCAAAAATTAAGTTTTGATATATTTACGGTAGGAAATTAACACAATATCTTCATGGAACATGATCTTTACTTAATATCCTAATGATTTTTGGCATAAAAAAATCAATCAATAATTTTGACCCATACAATGTATTGTTGGCTATTGCTACAAATATACCTGTGCGAATGGTTTTGTGGTCCAGGGTCACATATAACTTAGCATACTACTAATATTTGAAATGCATACTGTCCAGGCATATTATCATTAATTAACCCAAAATAAGAAAAAAAAACAGCATTTATTCAAAATAGAAATCTTTTCTAACAATATAAGTCTTTACTATCACTTTTTATCCATTTAACAGATTCTTGCTAAATAAAAGTTAAAACAAAAAAAAAAAAAAAAAAAAAAGAAAAAAAAAGATAATAAAAATGACAGAAGCAGATAAAATTACTAAAAAAATCAACAAATTAAAATGCAAACTGAAAATATACAAATAAAAGTGAACAATTTTTTAGAAAGACTATAACAGAATATAAATAATTACAAACAGTATGCAGTGTGTACTAAATAGTATTCAGTAAGGTAGTATTCAATTCAGATCAAATCCAATTTTTTAAAACCCAGATCTGTGTCTATAATTTCTATACTGGTTAAAACAGAACATTTAGAAGTGTTTATCACAGGAGGGAAACAAGAAAATCTTCAGAAAACATGTCGACAACCTCGTATGGAGGGAACAATCGATTCTCACATGTAAGTTTGTTCAAGCGGTTAATAACAAAGACAAGAATGAACCAAAGAGCGGAGAACTCAGGTAGAGAACAAAAACAATTCACACAAACAAAAAGAGAGAACAGGAGAATAAAAGAAAGATAAAGATGAGATGGAAAAACCACACAAAAAAGATCAGCACAGGTGACCACCACTGAAAAAATGACCTGAAGAAAAGGACAAAGAAACACAAATAGAGAACTGCAGGATATTGCAGCCCACAGATCTTCCACCGGACTCTGTTAGCATTCATAAAGACATGTAAAAATGGTGTTTATTCGCAGTCAACAAATCAATGTTCGCTACTTGCACTTTAGTTTGACCTTGAATGTTATCCTGTATCTGTAAATAACCATTTTAGACCGTCTAGATCTGTCCATAATTTGTGTTTGAGACCCTTAGAGCCAAATTTACTCCCTGTACTGTGCTGACAAAGTCAGGTGGGCATCATCTGAAGACCTGTGAGGTTGAATCATGGGAAGGGATGCTTGATTGTGTAAAGGAAAGTAAGATAAATGCAGGAAGAAGAGATGGGGGTTTCGAAAAGATGGGACAAATGAACAGTACCTGCAGGGGTGAAGGTGAACGACTGAACTGCAAAAACAAGAAGACAGAGAAGAGTGTGTGTTAAAAAGCCTGCACTGCTCAGTCGGGCTTTGGAAGGTTTCTGTGTTTCTGTGCATGTGCATGATTATTCGCATGCATACTGGAATGTGTTTGAGCAAGGTTTGCGTTATGCCATCAGAGTCAAGACAGCAAGACAGCAGCCAAAGGAATGAGACACACAAACACAATTAAAATAAAGTGTAAAAAACAAACAAAAACAAAACAAAAGAGTGTGTTTTTCAGTGGCGGCTGGTGCTTTTAAATAGTAGGGATGCACAGATATCACTTATCAATGGCAAAAGGTGTACTTTATTATAATTTTTTTTTAAATATCTGCAATGTTGCTTCTAAGTACTACTAAAGAGTGAAAGCATTTATAAAATAAAAAAAATAATAGTTTCTTATCACATTGGACTACTGACTTTGCTCACACAAGGAACGACCTCCCAACAATTCTTTTCTTTTCTTTTTTTTGATATTGTTACACTTGTGGAGTTCCTGATCAAAAATTACTGGCCTCCAAAAAACTGCATATAAATTTCCCATTATGCTATATCATTACCAAATATTGGATTCAATCATTTTAGCAACTTGTTTTCTTTCAATTACCACAGGTTTTGATCATAAGCCTCATTGATATGAGCTTATACGCCTGCGATTTTGAGTGAATATTGCCAAAATTATTCACAAATAATGCTTTTTTTTTTTTTTTACTTAAAAACTGAGGTGTATAAGCTTAGATCAATGAAGCCTACAAGCAGTCAGTTCCAAAAAGAAATACAAAACCTGTCCTAACTGAAAGAAAACATGCTGTTATTAAAGACTGAATCCAAGCTTTGGTGATAATATAGCATAACATGAGAATTACAAGCAATTTTTAAAAGGTGAGCACACTAAATTAGATAAAGAATTTTCAACACAGCACAAGGGTTCATTTTTCAATTATTGGCCATTTGCAGCAAAGTCCTGTCCATTTACGAGCTTGAACAAATCATCATATAGCGAAAGCTGGGACAAAAACACATTGATTGAAAGCCGAATATGTCCCATTCAAAAGCTTTAAAAATACAAATAAGGACACAAAACGGTACTTTAGAGCCTCTTATCCAATGAACATCACTCGTTGCTTTATTAAAATAAATAGCCCAGTAAAGCACGGGCTCTAAGGGTCATGGTTTAATTTGCTAAAATACTAACAATATTTGTATTATTTATACTAAACACGCATTTAGGGGAAGTTGTGCTTCCCGTGCCATCTGAAAACAATCGCCACTGTGTGTAGCTCAAGCGGATCTGGTCTCTACCTGCGTAATTGCTGAGACCCTTTCTCTTCTTTCTCCTCCAGTAGAGCCAGATGCTGAAGCCCATCAGAATAACCCAGCAGGCCCCTCCGATGCCCGCGATGAAGGCCGGCTGCTTCACCACGTCCGTGATCTGCTCTGTGATGCTGTTGTTCCTGCTCATGATCACATCCCGGAAGTCTTTACCTACATGGACACACACACACACACACACGCAAGAGAAAACCGCTATTTGGTAAACTGAAAATTGTGGGTGAGTTTCTAAATTAGTTTAATAGCACGAGAAAAACACTTGTGCTCCAGTGAACATCAGAGCAGAATTTAATCAACTCAACTAGAGCGTTAAAAGCACATCACCTTGATCGTTAGCGTTACTTCAGTGAACAGAACAGAAAAAAACGAAAACACAAAATAACACGGAACAGCTTTTATAGCACATTTAATTTCCTTAATGTGATATTATTTCAACATTCATCAGAAATAATGTGAGATTTTATTATCTTTTAAGATTTGAATGGATTGAATCATGTTAGACTATAAATAGTATTGGTTAATATTACTTAACCCTGCCCATATGTCCCACCTCAGCAAAAACATAAAATAAAAAAATAAAATAACTAACACAAAATGTTGTATAAATAACACAAAACAGTATTTACTGCACATTTACTTTCCTTAATGTGATATTATTTCAATATTCATCAGTAATAATGTAAGATGAGACACATTTATTTATGACTTTTATTATCGTTTAGGATTTGATTGGATGGAATCATGTTAGACTTATATTATTGGTTAATATTACTTAACCCCGCCCATATTCCCACCTCAGCAAAAAATATATAACAAAAAATTAAACCAAATAACACAAAATGTGTATAAATAACACAAAACTGTATTTACAGTACATTTAATTTCCTTAACGTGATATGAATTCAATATTCATCAGTAATAATGTCAGATGAGACTTGGTTAATACTACTTAATATAGCCCACATGTCCCACCTCAGCAAAAATATAAAATAAGAAACTGAAATAAAGAACACAAAATGTTGCATAAATAACACAAAACCGCATTTACAGCACATTTAATTTCCTTAATGTGACATTATTTCAATATTTGGCACAAATAATGAAAGGTGAGACTTGTTTTTCATCCTTTCAAATTGGATTGGATGGAATCATAACTCCGCCCACATGTCCCACCTCAGCAAAAATATACTAACTAAATAACACAAAATGCTGTATAAAAACACAAAACAGTATTTACAGTACCTATTATTATCTTTTTGGATTTGATTGGATGGAATCATGTTAGACTATAAAGATCATTGGTTAATATTACTTAACCCTGCCCACATGTCCCCCCTCAGCAAAAAAAAAAAAAAAATATATAAGTTCAAAGGCAGAGAAAGTTGATAAAATGTTAACTTTTTTCCCTTTTGAAGTGATGAGCACATGAACTATTTACAATAACCTAGGGATATTTACTAGAGCCAAAAAAATAATCATTTTGATTTTTTATGTTGTCTTGTAGCTAAATCAGCGTTTTTTACTTCAAAAGCTGGTAGGACACACACATGCACACTAACTGCAATCTTGATAAATAATCTATCAGCCCCTGGCTGTGCGTGAAGATGGATAGTGAGCTTGACATTTTGGAATAAGGGCATGTCACTGGCCAAATCATCACTTATGGGTCAAACCAGTCACAACCTGCTACAACTCACATAACTCACACTGTAAACACCCAAAGACCTGGAAAAAAATCTGCGGCCCTGACCGTGAGATTTAATTTTGATTCTGGTGACCTCGATTTAAGATATTTCTGCCCATCACAGATAAAAGGCAGATGCAGTGTGACAGTAAAGGTTATCGAAACCAAAAGATGTCCCGTACCAATAATGATGGTTTGTGGTTCGCTCTTCACCCCCACCCCAGCGCTGGTGCTGGCGGCCACCTCCACCCGGTACTGGACCCCCGCCTGGAGACCCCCCACCACCACTGAGCGGATGGCTGCGTCCACTGTCTTATTTACATGGAAACGGCTCTCGTTCCCTAAACACCAGATCTGAGAGAGAGAGAGAAAATAGCAAATTGTCTGTAAAAAGTCATTTTTAATGATTGGGCCTCATTAACGAAAACGATTTTTGTGTGAACCACTCGTAAAGCCATTTTTATGCAAATTGTTGCATTCAATTCAGTACAGCTATTTATGCATGAAGGGATTTACAGACAATTTATAGAGAAATTAGTTCTGCTTGTGTTTCATAAATGAGGGCCATTTTGAACAAAAGTAAAAAACGTAAACAGTCATCTAGTGTGTGCTTCTATCCAAAACGACTTATTGTACACATATTATTTATTGAGTTTAGACCCTTAAAACATCCTCAAATGTGACCCTGGACCACAAAAGCAGTCATAAGTAGCACAGGTATATTTGTAGCAATAGCCAACAATACATTGTATGGGTCAAAATGATTGATTTTTCTTTTATGCCAAAAATCATTAGGATATTAAGTAAAGATCATGTTCCATGAAGATATAATATAATATAATAACGTTAATGCCCTGGCAGTGGCAAATAGCTTTGGTTTTATATTTAATTTGATTACATTAATGTTATAAGTTGAGATTTACAAGAAATATTTTAACTGCTACTATGTGAATGGAATACTGCTTTAAAAAAGCACCTTATTCGTTTAAAGTGTTTTCAAACCAAATATTATTGCACTTTTGTTCATATAC